CTCTATACAATGGCCAGCCTTAGTCATCCATCAAATGATAAAGCAGGGGTCATTTCATTCAAGCAGATGTCGAGCTGATGTCGGAGATTTCCTCCGGCGAGCCAGGGAAAAACTACTCGTCGACATGTCAAAACATATGCGTCGACATGCCAAAACCGACCCCCGCCGAGATGATATCTCGGGTTGTGTTTTTCCATCTCGGGGCGGGTTTTTTGCCATGTCGGCGCGCGATCCCTGCGTGCCGGCTGTCCTTTCCGAATCTCGCGGATAGAGGGAACCGCTGGAATTCCAGCATGTTCTTTGCTGAGAATGTTTGGGTTCCCTTAGCTTGACAATGCTAAATTCAGCCCTAAACCTGTAGTGACATTATGCCGACTCCTGGTTGCACTGATGCCGAGTAGCTTTAACCGTTCCACAACGTCGTGGCACTTCCGTGGTTCAAGTCAAGTGAACACACAAGCCAGGGTGGTGTCCAGTAGTGGCGGAACTTGCTTGCGCGAGTCCATGGCAGCGACGATTGATGCCGAGGTGGTTCATGGGTTCATTAAGCTGGGTGATGTGGCAGGATTGCAGACGTTCGCACCCTCCAACTTTGACTGGACTCAGCCTCTAGGTGAACACCAGCTATTTGCACTCATATGCGCAATGACCTACCCCATCACTGAGTCTGCAGATGCGAAAAGTCAGCGCCTGAAGGTAATAGAATGGCTTCTGAAGGTTGGAGCTGATGCGAGACAGAAGATTCCGATTGACAACCCTTTTGTTTGGACGATTTGGAAAGATATAAACAAGGTACCAACGACTTCAAAGGTTGCATATGCTGGGCATTCCGCTGTTTCGCTTGTTTTTGCATGGCTTCAAGAACTGAAGCAGCGCAGAGGCAATGCGGAGTGGTCACAACAAGAGGCATTTATGAAAGAAGTCCTTGCTTTGTTTTCGCGCTCGAGTGCAGCCAGGACTTCCCATTGTGCAGATGTTACTGTGCCTCGAAGTACCCTGGACTTGTGGGAGTCTATGAGGGGGTTGACTACTTCGCACAACGTGATCTTCCAGAGTTCAGACGGCGAGGTGTCAGCACACGACCAGATCTTGATGCTAGCATCACCCGTCTTGAAGGCCATGCTCACGTCTGATATGAAGGAAGGATCCAGCTTACGCATTGACATCGTGGATTCCTCGTCCTCAGGTGTGTCGCTCTTTCTGGATCTCTTGTACACAAGCTCTACTCGCGAAGACCCCGACCATAATACCATGCTTGTGGCTTTGGACTTGGCGCACCGCTGGCAAGTTCATGGCGTTGTGCAGACTCTGTGCAGGGCACTGAACGACATGATCGACGCCAACAACTTTGCGGCCATCGCAGAGGCTGCGTCCCTCAAAGGGCTGGAGACGCTAGGGAGAGCATGTACGTACTTCGGCTCTCAAGACAAGCAAGTTCAAGCGATGCTCGAGAAAGGCAGTCTCCCGGCAGCTGTTCGGAAGCTCTTGGGGGAGACTACGCATGACCCTAGCGGGGACCAGGACACTACGAAGACGCGAAGGATCTTCTGCTCTTCATGAGAAGAGCTCGTTGCGATCTTGTAGGTGCACGCCTCGAGTCGCCTTTTCTGCGATTATAAGAAGATGAGAGAGCGAGCTACCGGTTTGGGGTCGAGCTTGGCAAGCACTCTCGCATCTTCGCAACAGAGAAGTCGGAATGGGGACTTCTTTGTGCTGCGTGTGTTGTTTAGAGGCTAGGAACTGCAGTGAATCTACAATGAAACGTCTAGTGCCACTATGATGCCCCGGTAAGCACGACACAAGCTCGCTTGCTGCACCCTGATGCCTTTTATGCTAGAAGAAACAGGAGATTTGGGCGAATGGGGCATGCTGAGCATCCGGATTCGATTAGTTCGATATTGCCCTTGTGTGGTGTGGTTTGGTACAGAAGATCATGCACGACCGCTATCACCACCATTGTCACCTCCGTGATCATCATCGTTGACGATGTAGCACTCGATGGTTCAAGATATTTGGGTGCCGCCCGCATGTGGATTGCAAGTGGAAGACCGTGCCTCTACAAAGGAATCCTTTCTTGTAACGACGGCTACTCAAACGGCACTGCTGCTTTTGTACTGCGGCTGCCTCTGCTCCCCTATCATTACTCTTGTTATCATAAACCTTGTGGTGCTTATATATATATATATATAATATACATATATATATATATATATATGTATTACTTTATTCTGTTCTGTTCTATTCAAGTCTATTGCATTAAACTGCAGCCAAGTCGGTCCTGGGAGGCCTCGGCGTCACCTCCGAGGCCCTGTTGGCAACGCGGCGGAACGAGGGAATGGTTTTTTCTCTTGGTACCTGAGTTTATACACTTTAAACTTTTTGCGATGATGAAGGCCTATTAAGACTGAAACTTTAAACGTTTTTGGGCTTATGAACTCGGCAACTATTCTAGACCGTTGAGCCGCCAACGTGGCGATGGTGATGGTCTGCGAAAATGTGAGCGATTGATGCTGCTGACACCCCAACCACAGGAAGCAGTAGTAGTTGTCGTTTGCGACTGAAACTACTATTATTTTTGCTACCGCTACCGCTACCACTTCGACTACGACTACCGCTACCAATACCACGACCAATACTACTATACCACTTCCACTACGACTGCTACTACTGCTGCCATGGCTACGACAAGCACGACTACTTTTCGTAGTACCGTGGTTGCTGCTGTCGCTGTTAGTCATGGCGCGCCGCGTATTTCTATCGTCATCTGCGGTTGAGTGTTCCTCACTCGTCTATGCTGCTGTCACGATGATGGTGACTCGTACTACGACTACTTCTTCGGCTAGCGCCACCACCCACGGCTGGCCATCAGCATGTACTCAGAACCGATCCAAAGAAGGAAGACAGAAGATTGCAGTAAACGGGTCAGGTCCTTCCTCGTGACGACTTGAATGAAGAAGGCCTACACGAGTGTGTAGAAATGGATAAACTCTGACCTACAGCGCTGCAGTCATCAGTGAACCCGGATCTGGCGAATTTGCGTACGGCTTCCCTGTTGCTTGTCGCGGGTCGGTAGACATGTTATTCACGCTTTCCCATGACCGATGATGAACATGCTGGGTACCTACACTTAAGCATACCCAGCAACTGCTTGTTACTAAAGCTTCTGTACATGTATGATGTCGCTTATGAACTCTTTGTTTGCCTCCCGTGCCGTGCTGGTCAGTACTGTACTTGGCATTATTTACGATGTTCATGACTGGCCAAGGCAGGTATCCCGGTGGTGACCAGCGGCATCCTGCTAATGGCGGCAGCCTCGGATGACTACGTCCCGTAAGATCTCCTTGCCGTGTAGGATGTATGGTTTTGGGGGTTGCAGTTTATGGCATGCACTGGGCTCTGCTTGGGCCTGTGCGCATACACATGTGGACTTGTAATCCGAAGAATTCCCAGTATATCGGCTGCTGACCTTGCTCAACAGAAGACGGGCTTCCGGGAAGCAACCCATTCTCCCGATCCCCGCTTTCCATTGGGAAGTTCTCTTGCCCTCACTCACCGGCCGGCTTGTATGACTATTGTCGTTGCTTAGATGCGCAGATGGAACTGTAACAACCATCGCAACAACAGTGCCCATGCACACCACGGGAAACCCTAAACCCAAAGAGCAGGACATAATCGCGACCTAAGACCCTCAGACCCATGGATTCTAAACCTAGGCGATCAGATTATCCCGGCGAATTCGCGAATTCAGTTTTGCTATAGTAGGACAGTTTTCTAGTCGAAAAGAGGAGCTCCAAATTAAAGCCTAGGACCAACGCTACTGGGCCGCCCGGATCCATGAGTTGGGCTCCGGCTGCGAGGTGGGCACCCAGCCGAGAAGCTCCAGTTGGTCATATGGTTGATGATATAAAATCCTGCAGTACCTTAAGGACCCTAGACTATGGGAATTATGGTAAAGTATAGTCCTAATCATTATTATGGGTCATGCAGAATTTATATCATCAACAGTACTATAGGGGCCTCAATACCTAGTATAGTAGAGTAGGTAATGTTTAACCTTCTTTGGGTAGTATAGCCCCTTTATCATCCCTATACAACCCAAAAGGTTAACCTTTGGTTCCCCATGATACCCGACAAGTAGGAATAATTACCCGTATTATTCTTCGGGTTCCTTACTGTACTTGTCAATTGTAGTATTAAAGGAGCCTAAAACCCTACTCTGCTTACTATGGCCCCTGCAGTAAGCTGCCCTGCAACCCTCCTTCAGGGTTTAGGGTTCACGGCTTGAAAGTTCGAAGGCCTCCGCTCACAATCTTGGGTTGCTGTTGTGCGCTTCACTGTAGGGAAATTTGGATAGAGGGCATTGAACCTTTCAATTCTGACCGCTTATATCCCACACGTCCACGGGGACCTCAAACCTCTGCACCCTAAGACATCCTCTGCTCCTAAACCCTCACACTCATATTTAGGATAAAGCCTTAAACCCTGCATGAGCCCTACAGTGCTATAGTTCTACACAATATATACGATATTATACTATTAATATAATTACCCACAGTGTTAAGATACCAGTCTATATGCAATAATGTACTACCAGTAGTCTAACCTTCTCACACCCTCTCCACAGTTGCAAGCTCAAGATGCGTCCCCGGTGCCCGCCGGCCCCATGGCTCCAGTCACTGCAGCTTCGACGGAGGAGATGTTTGGGCTCTAATGGAGTCCTTCAAAGTATACATCTATATATATGTACATATACATATGTACCTATATGTAAATATGTGTACATATATATATATATAGAGAGAGAGAGAGAGAGAGAGAGGGGTCCTTGAAAGGATGCTAGGAGGATTTTAGAAGGGCTACTATATGGGACCCCATGGGAAGCCTAAGGAAGATTAGAACAGCGCTCGGAATACTTAAATGGTGATGATGCTCTTTATGGCCCGAGAAACCTGTTTTCTAGTTGTTCAGGCCCCTACATGTGGGTTTTGGAGTATAGGACGGTAGGATGTAGGACTTCGCGGATTTAGGCTCTGACCCATAGGAAACTTCTTCGAGGGCATTGGGACCACCACACGTAGAGAGACGCAAGCTTTTGCCTGATGATTCTGGTGCTGGTGGAAGTCGTTAAAGCCAGCCGCAGGCAAAGCCCCAAAACCCTAAAGCAGTAGTCTAAACCCCCTTTTTGTTTCTGGTGTCCCGCGGGCTTGAATTGAAGGATGTCTTAACTGACGACGGAGCTGAGAAGCCAGAAGCCCACGGCCCCGGAGGCTTCATTAACTAGGTTCGAGGATCTCTGGTATTCACGGTGTTTCTTGCATCGTTGCACAACATAGTGAAGAAGGAAGGACATGGTGATGGTGATGGAGGTGATGATGAACATGACGATGATCATCATCAGCGTAACAACGATAGACAGCTATCTTCTGGGAGAATGCCGTAGTTTCCGCGTGCGCTACGTTTTGGCACTTCCAAGCCCTTCAAACCTCCAGCGCCCGATGCACCCGCACCCTTATGGTAAAGAGAACCCTTACAGAACCCCAGTAGAAGAAGCTTCAGGGTATTCCTTACAGTAACCCCTAAACCCTTAAAGAAATCCTTCAAGGATCCCTTATGGGCACCCGCATAGTAGCCCACCTCCCAACACCTTTCGATCTTCGTAGGATGAGGACGTGTCATTTCAAGTGAGCCTGATGAGCCTCGGTCACATTGAGAGGCGCAGCCCCGAAAATCTCCGCCTTGGGGATGATAGGATTCTTAGGTTCAGGTTTTCGGGTGTTTAGACTGTTTTATGGCGATTTTATGGTTCGGGGTTCAGTCTTTTATGGTTCGGGGTTTAGTCGGTTAGTGTTGAAGGTCTGGGGCTACTAGGCTTTGAGGGCAGGGCAGACAGACTTTCGGGGCTTTGAAGCTGGCTTTAAGAAGAAGGGCGAAAGGGTCTGGGTTGAGAGCTTTCTGGACAGTTCCCCTGCCAAACCCCAAACTCCAATGTAGGCACCTTAATAGTTCGAGTAGGGTTTGGGGCCCATTATACTTTCATTCTAGTCAGGAACCACCCAAATAGTATCGGCATAGGGTAATAATGTAAGGCCCCCTACATTTAGTGATTGTGGTGAGACCGGTAGTCCAAGGAATGGCGCCCACGCCACCATCACCTGCAAAGCGGCCGACAAGCTGCAGAGTCTGCATGGTCGAATTTCGGAGGCTTTGGAGGCACGGATGTGTGGTGCTGCTGAAATTTATTTTGGAATTTGTTCTCCTATTTTCCTGGAAATGGCTCATAAGAAATCGGCTCTGTTTCCTTTCTAAGTTTGAGGTAGCAGTCGAAGTTGCAGTAGCGGTGGATGTAGGAGTATGTAGGAGTGGCAGAAGACGTAGGAGTGGTCGTAGGAGTCGGGGGTTGGAGTGGGAGGGGAAGTAGGTGCAGGATTGGTAGGAGTATTGTTACTAGGAGTAGCAGTATAGTAAGAGTAGAAGTATTAAACTACTATTACAAATTATGATGATTAATATTATCATCAGTCTTAGTAGTTGTCGCAGTAGGAGTAGCAGTAGCAGCAGTGGCTGGCCATTTTAAATTATCGTCGTCACTGTCATTGTCCTTATTGTTTGCCTAATCCTTGTGCTCGTCAGAACCTTGAACCTTCCTTGAGTTATAAACCTTGTATCCCGAAGCCGTATGCCCTAAACCTGATTACTTAATTAAAGCCCAAACCCTGAACCTAAAAGCCCATCAATCCCCAAAACCTATTGTCAAACCCCAAGTACCCCCTGGCCCAAGCCCTTTATTACAGCCTGGGCAAACGCAACACCCCGCTTTGATGAGGGCGTGGGCTGCCGCAGCCCTCTTTGCTACTTCCGTAGCACGCAGGAGAACCCACAACTGCTGGCAGGCTTCCCCTGTAGGATTCTTGCAGTTTCAGGATGTTGTGTAGCTCGGGATTCGGATTTTAGCAATGTGGGTTTAGAGCTTTGGGGCCATTTTTGTTTGGGCTTCGGGGGGCCATGCGGCTTGACGAGGGCGCTTTACGATGTGGATAGGATGCAAATGTGCGGTGGGTTTGATGGTGTTCTTGTTCCGCCTAGGCTCTACTTTACCCGAGAGCTTGAAAGTCCAAACCCTTAAATATGTGCTTACAGTCCGTTGATATTTAGAGCATAACCTACCCCCGGCCCCCAACCCAGCTACGAAGGGCCGGTATACAAATCCTAGATTCAAGCATCGAGCTCAAATCCTACTGATCACTCGCAGGCCACACTGAAGCGGCTGAGGTCGCAGGGGCAGAGATAAGAGTGGTGGTGCAGGCACCCGACTCAGGGGGTTTGGGTTTCATGCAAGGGTGCTAGAAGGCTTACTCTCTTCAGTTGATCTGGAGGCCTTAACGATTAGACGAGCGTTTTCGAAGGGCGTAGTAGAATATACCGTACATTAGTATGGACACCATAAGCAGCTGTTCTTACTAGCTATTCAGGCCTCTACTACAATTTTAGGGCTTCAGGGCTTTTGGTGTTCAGGGGTTTGGAGGTCTAGTCTAGGTTCAGGGTTGGAGTTTGCGGACCAGTTTCGGGTTCAGTTTAGGGGTTTCGGACATGGGGACAAAGACCCGAAACTCAGCAGTCCCATCAAGAATCGCAGCCAGCTAGGACAACATCACTGTCATCACTACCACTGTCATTATCAACACGGTGTTCTAGATTTCTCATCGTCATTGCAGTGTCAACAGTCTGCGCGAATCATGAGCAGCATGAACTCGACACCCGCACAGAGGCCCTGAACACTACACACCATCCCTGAACTCTGAACCCGCCCTAAGGAGGGTGGTTGTTCCCGTGTCCGACCTGAATAGTTAGCGTCCATTACTGAAGGGAGCAGCTGTGGGGTGCTGTCAGGTTTCAAGCGAGTTCTGTAGAGGGAATTCGACGTTATGCGAGCCCACGGCCACTTGCGAACTGACGGCGTCGGCTTTTGTATTTAGCACATCTCAATTTGCACCGTCAGTCCTCCAACGTGAAGAGCAGAAATAATGCTTCAGTCGAGAACAGCAGACCATGTCGAGAAGAAAGTACAGCGACACATGCAGCAGGAGTAGTGGTTGGATGCAGCCGAAGCGACAGCGACGGTGTCACTTCTACCCTCAACATGGCTCCAAACCCTGAACCCTCCATCCCCAAGCCATGCCGAAAAGGCTGAGCCTATCTGGTGCAGTGAGAAATGCTTCCGCCGGGCTGCCTCCTTCAATGAGCTTCCGGGATTCTTGGCCCGCAACCCCGAACCTTCAGGCCCAAGTAATTCCCCCTACGGTTTAGGGTTTAGGATAGAAAGCAATAGCAATAGAAACCCTAAGTCCTAATATTCCTAGGTAGTAGTGGCAAGCGTGAAAGCCAGTAGACGTTGAGGTGTCAGGTTGATGCCATGGTTCGAGGTTTGAGTTCGTTTCTGTTTCAACGCCGAAGCCAGTGTTTTGCTTGCTTTCGTACAATCGGGGGTGAATTCCGAATTGGGCATGCTGCATGCTGGTTTCGTGATGGATGCCCGTGAAGGATGTGTTGCCTAGATTTCGACTGGGGGGGCGTGACTTCAAACGTGGACCTTTTCACATATTGGGGCCTTAGTAGTTAGACTACGTGGGGCTTGAAAGAAATGCTATGGTATACGAAATATACTACACATATGGACTAATTATACGAAAACATGACTGACCGCTCAGACCTGAAAATTAAAGGCCCAGTGTTTTTGGGCAATCGAGGGCTCGCACTACCTGATAACCTCTCTAGTACCTGTCATGTGCATAACTTGGCTCCCACGGTCCATTGTGACGGGTTGTCTATGTCTAATAGTAACCCGACAGTAATCCATATAATGCATATAATGTTCCTTGAACTCTTCGCCCCGAAGCCACCAACAAAGGCTATTTGGACGACCAGTGGGAGGAAGAGCGTCTCCGATTTTTTACGTGTGGCGTCTTCGAGCTACACAAGCACTTTCACTCAAACCATGGTAGCATGCCAGCAGAAGACTGCTTGGAGGCTTTGATGCACGAGTGACTTTGTAGGGTGAGCCCTAAGCCCTCACCCCTAAACCCTACAAGGCCTTACTGATGTTCGGACAGAGTGGGCAGAAGTAAAAAGGAGCTGGAAAAAACTCTTGTAGGGTTCGGCTCAGGATTTGGAGGGTTTGAAGGTCATCAGAGGCAACTTAACCCTTCACAATCCAAAGCTTCTAGACCCTGCGCCCTAAACCTTCACAACCGTAGAACCCTAAACGCCAACTCAGCTCCAGACTCTACCATAGGGGCCTCAATAATTACCAATACTATGGTGGGGGTTCCTGATTATAATTTTTCTAGCAGGGGCTCCGAAACCCTATTCTAATTATTAAGGCCCTATATTATGATTTTGCCCTGGCAAAACTGCTCTTTTGATGTCTGGAGCCACAAGGAAAAGGAGAACTACCTTGTAGCGACGGGAGAGTGGGAGCTGGATGGGGAGGATGTTCTCCTGATCGGAATGCAGCTGCTGGGCTGTGACATTTACATTTTTGGAAGTTAGAGCTGGGCGTAGGTTTAAAAATTCATACTTCTAATGAACGCCTCAGCCACAAGGAAAATCTGCGGTCGCAGCAGTGGCCAAACCGTCACGAAGAGCTTCAGGCCGGACCTACTACTACTACTACTAACTACTACTACTACTACTACTACTACTACTACTACTACTACTACTACTACTACTACTACTACTACTACTACTACTACTACTACTCTATATACTACCCCGCCCGCCCAAAGTATGTTTGCTTATAACCTGTCTGACAGTAGGTTTTCAGCCGGGGTCTAGGCAGAGCTGGACCGTTTCACTTAGATTAGCAGCTCAGAGATTTGAGTTTTAGGGCTTGGGACTTTAACCCTTAAGCCCAACAGGCCCAAACCTAAGTCAGGTGAGCTGACATGGGGGCTTCCCGAAAATTTGGGGTACCTTATTTTGTGGTCCTTATAATAAGGATCCTACGTTCTAGGGTACTGGATTGGGGTCCCCTATATTCGGAAACTTTCACATACCTTTCTGTTTCTTTCAGAAGCCAGGCGAAAGTGCCGGAAGAGAGACCTCCTCTACTCTCCAAGCTGGACCTCTGCAAGTGGTGTGGTTGTGTTCAGGGATTCGATATAGAAACCACAATAACTGCCAGTACTATTCAGGGACTTCGGTATAGGAGCCAGAGTAACTGCCACTACTACTTCTCAGGGTTCCTTATGCGATTTGCGCCAGAATATATCCCAAGGCCTCATTCTAATTACTAAGGCCCCTGTCTTCATTTAGAGCCTGTTTGGATCTTCGGGAACCTGACCTTCGGGATGTTTAGGCCCGGGGCCAGCAGATCTTTTACTCAGTAACAGGGCTAGCGCTGATGGGTTTAAACCCAACAGACACTAGACTCCTTGGACTTGCAGTGCTTTGTAACAAAGCATGGTTGGTCTCCTGGCCACCAGAGGCGGCTTGGCTATGAAGTCGCAGAATGTAGTCCTGCACCGGGTTAGCTGTCCAAGAATTGGGATGTGCTGGCAGAAGATGAGAAGAACAAAGACATTGGGGCCAACATGACACTTCCTAATTTGCTGCGGTACATGCTTGTGAGGGACATGGCAAACGACGGCTGATAGCTTAGCTGCGCGGTTGAGATCACCAGCTACTCAGCCCACTGAACACCCAACCCCCCAAATCCTGAATCACTAAAGTTCGAGTATATGACTAAACATAGTCGTATACTATACTATAGCATATCTAGTATGCGACAGCCCCAACGCCGGAAGCGCTAAACGTTGGTCAACGAAGAAAGAGCCCTAACAAAACTCTCATTAAGACAGGACAGGATCTGGATGGGTTTATATAGGGTTTAGTGGTTGAGGGCTTTGGGGTTAATTAGGTTTTAGGGTGTAGTGATTTCGTGGTTTAGGGCTATTGGGTTTAGGAACCCTAGCCCTAGACCCTAAGCCTGTCTTAAACCCTTTCTTTTCTTGGCCCTACACCATATAGAAACAGGATCGTCACGTCCATCGGTTCGGAGGGAGAGGCGGGGCCGTCCAAACTCAGATGTAGTAGGTACTGGTGATTTAGTAGGGTTTAGTAAGTCCAGTATAGGTTTTAGTAGAGGGTCTTATAGTTCCATGCTCCTCTGCCCCCGGAATTCTGGTGACATTATTGAGATCTGCAAAGGTTGTAAAAGGGGGTTGGTTGTTTGCTTGAAGCTTTGGAGGATCCCTTGGTGTTTACCATTAGTCATTAGGCACTAGGGTTCTACACAAAGTCTCCCTCATGTTCTGACATTCTCATTTCTGCTGCCTTCATCGAAATTTCTGCTTGTTAGATTCCAACCCAACCCCGAAATGGTGATGAAGAAATACGAGTCCAAGAGGTTTATGAAGACTATACGTCGTTTTTCGGGTCCGAGGGGTTTAGAGGCTTATGGTGCCCGAACAGGGCTTGAACGAGCATCCCGATATCGCGAATAATTCAGCACTGACCTCGGGTCTCAAGCCTCTGTCAAGTTTGTTTCAAGCACCGTATAGTGGCTGCATTCTGCCATGAAGAATGGCGAAGATCAGATCTGAAGCTCTTCCCGACGCGTCTTGGGCCTTGCAGCCCTACAGCTACTATAGGGGCCTATATATTTACCAATACTATTTGAGGGGTTCCTGGTTACAAACATAGTATCATGGGCCCCAAAGCCCTATTGTAATTATTAAGGCCCCTATATTATAGTACCCTTCTAGATCCCTTATAGTAACCCTTATACACTATATAGACCCCTTTAAAGGAACCCTATTCTAGTTATTAAGGCCCCTATATGTGCCAGCATCCGCGCACCCCCCCCCCCTCCCCCCCCCATGGTAATCCCCCTCCCCCCCCCTGTGGTTCCTGTGGTTCCCCCCCCCCCTGTGGTTCCTCTTGGTTTTCCCCCTCCCTTTTGTGGTTCTTCTGGTTCCTGTCTCCCCCCTCCCCCCCTGTGGTTCCTGTGGTTCCTCCGCGTGGTTGCTGCTGCTTTGTTGTTGCTGCTGTTCTTCTTCTTGTTCTTGTTCTTGTTCTTGTTCTTGTTGTGTGGTCGCCCGGGTCGGGGGGGGGGGATACCATTGGGGGGGGGGGGGGGGGTCGAGAACGCGGAGCGCGGGCACATATACTCCCCTATACCCTGTGCAAAGTCCTTGGCCCTCCAGGTCATTCCGGAGTATTACCGCGGCAGCGTTGAATGCATCGACCGGAACGTAGTGCGCGAGCCAGCAGACTGGTAAGTGTGTGGGTTCGTGGTGCTTTAGCGTTACGGTATACTTCTTCTGCGGAGAAGCGCAGTACTCTGATGCAGCTTTCGCACACGAAGCCAAAGAATTTAAGCCATCCGAAGCTGGTGCTAGCTGCCAACTGTTTTAAATTAGACTCCCGGCTAAAAAGAAGCCAATGGATGCCTTTCGGTGTTCACGACCACGATGAACTTCCGCTTGGGAACCTTCTGTACGCAGCTCATACCCTGTGTGGACTGCGTAGCCCCCGGTGCACCTGACATGGGGTGAACGAGATTATATTCTGCTGACCAGCTGCGAAAAAACGCGATGATTCCCTATACCCCGAACCGCTAAATCCCTAGACCTTAAACCACCAAAACCCCTAAACTGTAAACCCCTTAAAACCTAAAGCCTTTGGTGCATTCCTCTGCCATGGCTTTCGCAAGCTGCTGAGCCGCCCTATTCGGGTCTCTGCGTAGGAGTTGGGGTAGACGGGCATCGTCTGGGTTCTTGTTAAGGGGTTTGATCTAAGTTACCATGACAGGGAAGCCTGCAGATCCCTATTATGGCAACTTAGTTCCTTAACAATAATCCAGTCGTTTGGCATGCTTTAGTCTGCGTTTGACAAACCTCTGCACTCGTGTGAGAGCAGAGAGAACCGATGCAAAATGGAAGTCTCCAAACAACAGAAGAACTGCACATACCCAACCCCAAGAAACCCGGGGATGCGCTACTTCGAAGCAGATGTCCGCTAGGATATTGTTTTTTCGGGACTCGAAAGACAATCAGCGAGCACATTCTTACATAGATTGAGTTCCTAAAAACGAGGAACTCGAATCCCGGCCCTGCGCGCTAGGATCATCATGAAAAAGACTCGAAACACTACATCCGAAAGCAGTAAGCGCTAGAACTGCCGCAAGCTCTAAATCGAAACCCGAGACCCAAAAGCCTAATCTTAGACCGGGAGACCTACTGATAGAGGATCTCGAGACCCCTCTTCGTGCCAGGGTGTACCTGTGAACTATTTGCTGAAGCCTGTGATGGGTGCCCCTGGTGCACTGATGTTTGGGGCATTTTGAGATCAGAGTTTATATAGGTTTCAATCCTAGTGTTATATAGGCGATCAGAGTTCAGGGTTTTATCTCAGGGTTTAGGGTTTATGGTTTTTTGGGATCAGGCTTTAGGTTTGGGATGGTCGAGGTCGTGGCGGTTTAAAGTCGGGGTTTCGGGGGTTTAGGGTGCGCTCGGTCAGCATAAGTGTTTGGAATCTGTTTCAAGGACTTCGGCGAGGCAACTGCTAGGCCAAGATTCCCTAGCCCTACTGTAATCCCTCAATAAGTTTGCCTACACATCCGGGTTAAGCCAGATTGTCTTTCTGACTAGGCTTAAATTCCGAATGCCTAAACCCTGCACGCTCCAAGCCACTGCTTCCGGGGAGGGGGAGCTGCACCTTTCTGGGAAGCTAGCCACCGAAGCGTAAGGGTGTTGGGGTGGTGGCAACTGCTACTTCACCCAAACTCTAAGCCAAGTTCCAATTCTCGATCATCTTGATCTTCATCTTCAACATCGAAGTACAGGACATCATGTCTTTTGTAAGTATTCAGCCGCCGTTCGGTTTGCTGGTTTGGGGGTTTCTTGGGGTCTCTGCGACATCCACCTGCCAAGGCTCTGGCCAAGAGCTGCCAGCAGGGGACCTTGGGTGTGCAGGACTTTGGGTAAGGACATCGTCTTGAAGGTTTGCGAATTAGAGATTTAGCATTGCAGTTGTGGATCAGAATCTTTAGGGTTGGTTGTAGAGTTTCGGGTTTATGGTCTAGGATTTCGGTTTAGGCTCTAGGTGGACTTTGGCTGTGAGGTCTTAGGACTTAGGATGGGATCTTTTGAGTTCCACGTTCCGCGGAAGTCCAACGGATCTCGCCGCAGTCGAAGATTCTATTCTTTGCATTGTCACAACACGTCTGTGTAGCCAGGCGGCCAACACATTGAGGGCGTCGATGGCACTGATGTGCGGTGTCACGATGTAGCAACATAAACCCTAAACCCTTAACCCTTAAACCCTAAACCGTTGCCAGCTCTCCTTCCCTTCGTAGTGCATTTAACGACTACACTTGTCATAGTTGGCGAGTATTACCTTCATTGGGAACCACTGGTGTGTAGTTTCAATCGACGTGAGGCAAACGATTCCTACCGCTCAGGGTGTCAACCCAGGACGGAAAGGCTCCGACGTGCAAAATGTGCCCTGATTCCCAAACCCTAGTAAATCCTAAATGCCCTCCGCACCTGAATCCTAAACGCGCCAATCATGAACCCTACGCTTCAATGCAAGGTCGTGAACCTCATCCAGCAAGCCCTTGATCGCAGAGCAGGCCGGTGTTGAATGAAGACAATGGTTGCACAGGGATGGAGAGAGGAAAGTTCATTGGAGAGGAAGGGAAGGCAGGGGAAGGGCTTGAGAGGGGAGGCAGGGAGCAGGAAGGAGAGGAACAAGAGAATGGAGGGCAGATGACGAAGAGTAACGGAGGAAATGTAAAGGTGTCGCATAAAGAGCAGAGCAACCAGAAGATTGCGAGGCTGTCAGTGTGTAGCAACGTAGGATGTAGGACGCATCGCACCCTGGCATTGCCTTTCAGGGTCAGTTGTTGTGAGTTGAATATTATCTGAATGCTAACTGCTGCAGTATACAACTTCTGATATCACCACAAACGGGATACTGGTCTTTTACGGCCATTCTGGAACCGCCAAGTCACAGAGCCTTCACAGTTTCTTCGCCTTCCGGAACCACAGTTTCTTCGCCTTCCGGAACCGTGAACCCTAAACAGTAATTAACCTTAAACCCTAAACCTCAAACTCTACAACCCCAAGCAACCCAAAACCCCGAGCCCTAAACGCGTAAACTTGTGAATCATGGCCGAAGGAGAGGACACTTGGTATAGCCGCGCCCAAGAGATCCAGCGCAAGCTCAAGGCTTGGGCGGGGAGGTGAACTCTGCGACACGTCGCTCTAGGATATATGTTATATATATATATATATATATATATATATCGTTCTTTACATGGTGGTTATGACACGAAACTTGTGCTTTTAACATTGTTGTGACGATTGGTTGTATTGTCATTGTTTTGTTTTAACTAGTATTACGGTTGTTGTTCCTGTCGTTGCTATTACTATATGTTTTTGCCTTAGTACACATGCGGTTATTGTTTTTGCTGTTGTGCTGTTGATGGTGCTTGCTGTGCATTTTCTCATCTTCATTACCATTATGATCATTACCTGTATCGAGTACTCATACTAGTAGTCTTCTTCTCCGGCTACTTTCCACTACCATTCTGCTACTACTACTGCTACTACTACTATTCAATATGTCAGTCAGGGGCATGTGCTCTGAACGAAGTCCCGGAACAAGCTGCGGTTGTAAGTCCAGAGCAACTACATGCAGCACTGTTTGGCTACAGTGTGCATGTGCTATGCCCCACACGCAGACTCTACCAGCAGTGTCAGAGAATATGCAGCACCCTCATGTCCGATGCATGACCTTCATATGCCTTGTACGATGGCTTTGCTGAAGCTTCCTCTTGCTTTGAGATTCAGCTTAGCTTTGCGAGTGCCGCATCGCGGTTTTACTGTTCTCGATGGGTTTGTTTGTCTCGACACTGTTTTGCTACAGTGTGCACGTGCAGTGGCACGACATGCAGACTCTACCAGCAGTGTCCCAGTAGTACTGCCGGAGTCTTCCTGCCCGATGCATCGCTCCCCCTGCTTTGGACGAAGGCTTGTGCGACAAGTCGCTGTCCTCAGACCCATTGCCCTCAGAGCATTCGGACCCGAAACTGTTTGGCCTCTCGCTGTCAAACTTGTGCATGGCCCGCCCTTTCTGATGACGGGCTTCGTCAAAGATTTGCCATGGCTTTTCCTGGCTCTATGCATGGGGTAACCTGCATACATCGGACGTTTTGCGATGGTGTCCGCGACCTAAAGGTGGTCCCACCAGACCGGAGCATTCATCTCTGTGGGCCAGTCGTGCTGTTATTTACCGACATTCTGGACAGCCCTCACACTGTTTTGCTACAGTGTGCATGTGCGCGAACACCACATGCAGACTCTACCAGCAGTGTCAGAGTTTCTGCAGCAGCTTCATGTCCAATGCATCGTTGTCCTATGCCTTGGACTTTTGGCATTGCGACATGTTCACAGCCTGTAGATTGCACAGCGCTAGCCCGCAATGCTAGTTGAGGTGCCCGTAGCGTGATGAAGGATCCGGGATGATCTAAAGTGATTGAGATGCAGTGAGTGTAGGTTTGGATTTCGGGAGGCTGTACTGCGAGGTCTCAACAACGTTGCTTGATTGTTGTTTTCAGACTGTTTGGGCACTGTTTTGCTACAGTGTGCACGTGCGCGATCACCACATGCAGACTCTACCAGCAGTGTCAGAGTTTCTGCAGCAGCTTCATGTCCAATGCATCGTTGTCCTATGCCTTGGACTTTTGGCATTGCGACATGTTCACAGCCTGTAGATTGCACAGCGCTAGCCCGCAATGCTAGTTGAGGTGCCCGTAGCGTGATGAAGGATCCGGGATGATTTAAAGTGAGATGCAGTGAGTGTAGGTTTGGAATTCGGGAGGCTGTACTGCGAGGTCTCAACAACGTTGCTTGATTGTTGTTGTCAGACTGTTTGGGCACTGTTTTGCTACAGTGTGCATGTGCGCGAACACCACATGCAGACTCTACCAGCAGTGTCAGAATTTCTGCAGCAGCTTCATGTCCAATGCATCTTTGTCCTATGCCTTGGACTTTTGGCATTGCGACATGTTCACAGCCTGTAGATTGCACAGCGCTAGCCCGCAATGCTAGTTGAGGTGCCCGTAGCGTGATGAAGGATCCGGGATGATCTAAAGTGATTGAGATGCAGTGAGTGTAGGTTTGGATTTCGGGAGGCTGTACTGCGAGGTCTCAACAACGTTGCTTGATTGTTGTTTTCAGACTGTTTGGGCACTGTTTTGCTACAGTGTGCATGT